CCCCCCCCTCTCCTCTTCCCCCCGGACTCGTGCTACAAATTCCCCAGTTCGGTCCCCATAATTATCCCGGCGGATGCGCTGACGACCCGCTTTAGACCGGAGCCGGCACTACTGCCTCCCGGCTCGGACAGGCAGATCTGGGCCTAGCCCATCTGTACGAGATGCGAACCAACGCCGAGATGATAGCCAATCTGGATCCCTACGGGCCCCCACTCATTGCTGATATGGATACCGGATACGGAGGTAGGACAATCTTTCTACTACCACCAATAACATCTCCACAGAACCGCAGAACTAACACACATCTTGTCAGGCCCCCTGTTCGTCGCCAAATCGGTGCAGCAGTACATCCAAGCCGGCGTCGCCGGCTTTCATATCGAGGACCAAATCGCCAACAAGCGCTGCGGCCATTTGGCTGGCAAGCGCGTCGTCTCCCAGGAGGAGTGGCTGACGCGCCTGCGGGCGGCGAAGATCACCAAGGACCGGCTGCGCTCGGACATCGTGCTCATTGCCCGCACGGACGCCCTGCAGCAGCACGGCTACGACGAGTGCATCAAGCGCCTGAAAGCCGCGCGCGACTTGGGCTGCGACGTCGGCTTGCTCGAGGGGTTCACCTCCAAGGAGATGGCCCGCCAGGCGGTCAAGGACCTGGCCCCCTGGCCCCTGCTGCTGAACATGGTCGAGAACGGCGCCGGACCCGTCATCTCCACCGAGGAGGCCAAGGAGATGGGCTTCCGCATCATGATCTTTTCCTTCTGCTGCATCACCCCGGCCTACATGGGCATCAAGGCAGCGCTAGAGCGGTTGAAGAAGGACGGCGTCGTGGGACTGCCCGAGGGGATGGGCCCCAAGAAGTTGTTCGAGGTTTGTGGACTGATGGACGCGATGCGGATTGACACTGAGGCTGGTGGTGATGGGTTCTCCAATGGTGTCTAGACTTTAGTTTTCCTTTTTCTTCTGTGTGTCTCTGGCATATTGCTTTTCCGGTGTTATTTTGTTTCCCCCTACCCCGTTCATCTCCCCTTTTGGAGATCATTTTCTTTTCTTTTTCTCTTCTTACATATATTTCTTTTCTTATCCTTGACGGATGTGCATGTGGGAATTTGTACCTAGAAGGTTCCGGGGCATCACGCACAGATACACACCCTATTGTATGGGATATATATTGTCGTCTGAAGCAAAATGAATACATCAAACGAAAAGAACAATGATCCTGACCGAGATGGTATCTAATTTCGTATCCTAAATGTTTTTCTTTCTTTGCCTTTTATATCTTGTCTTCGTTTCTTTTTCTTCTTCCTCGATCCATCTCTCGCGACCCCCCCTCTATCCCCCATTCTTAGCTTTTTGTTTCGGTGAAAAAAAGGTATCGAACCTAGACTACGGCAGCGATCATCTGAAAATCATCAACACTATGCGAATAATGCGGATGGAGCGCTTCCCCACCCAACGAGGCGGTTACCTTCCCTTACAGCCCCATTCTAGAGGGTGGTTGTGATGCAGCCTTGTAAGGAAACAGTGGGACTACCTTATCCGTACTACCATGCGCATGTATCCCGTGTCGATCGTTAGACAGACCGCAGCTGAGGGGGGCTGATTATCTGGTGGACTATTGGGTGATCTTACCGGTTTCGAGACTCCTCGGGTGGAGGCGGAATACAATTACTGAGATTTGTTTTTTTGGTGCATGTTTGCTTCTTTCTTTCTTCGCGTTGACTTGACCGAGGATCGACTGGCTGGATGTGGTGTTTATACGTGAAATCCTGGAAGGATGATTTGGTGTTTATTATTATTTTTACGCGAAGGCGCGGAAGGAGAAGAAGAAATTATCGAATGAGACTTTCATCACACATGACACATACACATAATAACATCGGAAGTGGAAGTATGGAACATGAATGAGGCTGGGGACTGTGGATGATGGAGTGGTCGAAGAAAAGGAAAGGAAAAAAGAAAAGAAAAAGAGGTCATCCGCCCAACGACGCTGGCTTCCTCAAGAAACACCTCAACTCAGGTCAAAGAAAAAAAGAATATCGTAGGTCGGGAAAACAGTAAAGAGTATCAATCATGAAGCGAAATCAAAACAATAAGTATGCAACCTCATGCCTGAATCGGCGGAAGCATCACGGTTCTCCTCCTCTTTCCCAGTGGTTGCACAGGACGGGGGGAATCTACTCCAACGACGTCTCCTGATGCACCACGATCCGCCACTCGCCGTCGGACCCCTGGCTCCACGTCGTCGACCCCGTGCCGTTGAAGTGGATCTTGCCGCGCAGCCGCGCGTTGATCTTGTAGGTGACCGTGCCCGCCATCAGGTCGATGATGAGGACGCGCACGTCCTTGAGCTCGTACTCCTCGAAGTGGTGGAAGGGCGGCTTCAGCGCCTCCGACAGGGACGGGTCCTTGCTCTGCAGCGTGAGGATGTCGCGCTTCGGGAAGAGGAAGTTGGCGTCGTCGTTGGACATCTTCTTGATCTCGGGGCCGGGGTCCGCCGACGTCAGCGCCGTCCAGAGGCGGCGTTCCATGGCCAGGAGGTCGTCGCGGATGCGTTCGTGGATTGGGGCCATTGTGGGCGGGTTTGTGTTCGGGTTGGCGGTGGTGGTGGAGGAGGAGGAGGAGGAGGAGGAGGGCGCTGTTGGTTTTGAGGGTGGGTTTGAGGGTGGGTTTGTTCGTGGATGTAGTTTAGGAGAGAGAGAGGATTGGGTTAGAGATCTGGTTGTTTGGTTAGTCTGTCGTTTCTCACTGTAATTTGAGGCGAAGGGATGCGACCTACTGAGGTGCGCTCTCGATATCTCACCGCAACGCGCGCGTAGGTTTGTTTAGATGACGGGTATAGAGGGCAGATGTAACGTTGTCCGGAGTATAAAAGGAAAACAGAACCAGAAGGTTGAGATGCCAGGAACAAGATGGAAAGATGAGGGTCGAAGGGGGGAACAGCCCAGCGGTGACGTCATGGGCGTTGTACCCCACGTGGATGACGTCGCGACACTCTCTTTTCGTGTTCTGAATATATGTAATTCCCCCCCCCTCCCCTCCCGGACCCCGTGATGGCAGAGGAAGACTCAGCCGTGTCATGTCATGCGATGACCGTCTGCCTCTTCGGTGGACCGTAATTTGGCGAGATCTGCGTTACCGGATGACGCAGGTGAGGATAGAGGATAGAGGGGTGGTGACGCAGTGGGGGAGACTGAGCGAGAGACTGAGCGAGAACATGGCTGCACGGGGTGACTTTGCAATGGGAAGGAGATGAAGTATGCGATAGAAGATTATGGTTTAGATTTGGAATGCTGGTTGCTGAATGTACTCAATGAAGTGGTTTGGCAGGTGTCAAATTGAGGGGAGAGGCTGGGATTCTTGGCGTTGCGCCATGGTGGTGTTGGTTGCACCGTATGCAATGGTTGTCATGTTTGCAGTTATCCAGGTCATGTGCCCATTCCCGTACCACACAGGAAGATGTGTTATTGGTGCCTGAGGCACAGTAGCACGCCGCTATCTCGGCCTTTCAGCTTCAGCTTCATCTCCCACAGCTACATCGTGCATAAGCCCGTGACAGACCAGACTGCTTCATTCACAGATCTTTTTTATTCCCCCCCAGTCGCTATCGAAATTACTTCTACAAGGCTACACAGAGACCTGCCCTGCCGGTTGCTAACACCTCAGGAAAGCTACCAGGGGAAAAAAGCATACCTTCCAACTACTGTACACTCAATCACAAGCCAACAAAATCTTCCTAAGCTCTGAGTCACCTCGGCCACAGTCTTGATTACAATCCACTTTCAATCTTCAGACAAGCCGAGGAGTATCCGCATTGGACCGGTATACCAAAGCAGCTCGCAGACGCTGGGTCGGACACCGTGACAGCCTCAATAAGACTTTCGTGACGGCGGTTACCCAAGGGACAGTCTTCAGCCAGGTCTCCACCAATGGAACAAATTAGCATAATCTGGAAGGCGTTTAGTCGAGATGTGGGCCTCTAGCTTGGGCGCGGTGGCCGAGCTAGTCTCATCCCTCGGATTTCTAGAGACGGCTTATCTCTCGCCATGAGGGTGCGGGATCACAACACACCACAACCGATGAGACAAGTAGTACACGAATCTTCGCCATATCTTCGTCCACACCTCGGAGGACAATGGCCGCTGAGCAGCAATTTTGCTTCACTGAAATTCTGAAGGTGGTGGGATTGCATTGAGACAGGGAGTCATTGCAGACGGAGCATGCAGCCTGGTATGCTGCAGTAGATAAAGCACACCAAGGTAGCATTGGCAGAAGGCTTGCAATGCCCTCAATCAACAAAAAGCCATCCGGCATTATCAACTTCGAAAAGTGCTCTGCCTAGTGCCCACTGCCAACCCCAACACCTGGTCACGGACCTTCCAGTAGCATTGGGTTGAGCGATTTTCAGCCATTGGCGACCAGGTCTGAATTTTCCCGGCTGATTGGCACTCATCAGTCTCGGATGCTTTGGGAAGCTGGGAGGTGGTGTCCCCATCGCTGAAAAAAGCCTCGATTTTTTTTTTTTTGTTTATCGTGGTTCCAGCTTTTCTCGGATGACAGTCACGTGCCCTGACGGCAAGAAGCTTTCGAGGAAGAATTCTTCGAAGCTTCCCCTCAACTCTTTTCCCGTCTACTCCGGTTGATTTATCCACTTCCCCGCCTTTTAGCTATCTTTTTGACTTCATCGCTGGCTGTCATGCAGGGAGCGGCCACCTCCGACGAAGACAAACGGTGATAGTCGCCTCTTCGCCGTGCTGGGTGTCTTGCCCTGCCTGGGAGGATGGAGAGTGAACAGGAGTCCGGTGGGCCGCCGATAACTGACCCTCTTTCTGAATGGAGGGCGAGGGCGCGATAAGAACCAGATAAATGAAGCTCCACCGCACAAGACGGGTGCCCTTATCGCCGATTCCATCCTCCTCAGTCTTGTGCGCTCGTCTTATCACTGGCAGCCGTGCTATCATTCGGATGTCTCCGATCGGTTCCTGCGCTAGCTGTGAGCTCATCGATTGTACATGTCATCTTGAGCAGCATCATTCAACAGCTCTCAGGTGTACCGGTACACGCCCGTTCACGCTGGGAGTTCGTTCTTGCTGGAGATCACCCAGCCATTTTCTGCAGCAGTGCAATAGTGGAACCACGGAAAACAAACCGTGGCCGGGCTTGGCTAAATCACGTTAGAAGTGGGGATTCTTCAGCCAGAAGGCTGGTTCGGCATCAATACAACGACGATCATTGGCCTGCGGGATAAGCTGCTTCGACTGCCGATCGCTACTCCTAACATTATCAGCGCTGATCCTTCCTAATCAGCCAATCTATGGACAATGGATCCCAATTTTTCCTGCAGGTGGACTTGCTCATGGATCGGTGCTTGCCGACTGCTTCCCGATTGCTTCCCGCGCGAAGCCCAGAAAAATTCTCCCAATGGTGACTCTATATAAGAGCTGTCGCGCGACCTTTCACCGGGAATAAAGTGTGCTCTCTCACATTTCCAAACGCGCACAAGATGCAGCTCCTCCAATCCGTCACCGCGGGCCTCCTGCTCGCCGGCAGCTGCTTGTCTTCCCTGGCTACGGCTCGCTCTGTTCCTGTGCAGCAGCCCCGCGATGTTGCCGTGAGCCACACGCCGGCCAAGATCACCCCTAAGGTGTTCATCGTTTCGATGGTAAGCCCAGCAACTTCTAGCACAGCATGACCCCAAGCTCACGAAGCCTGCAGTTCGCGCCTGAGGCCGAGATCTGGTGGGGTATCCCCGAGTTCGATCTGTTGGCTCACAACATCACCATCCCTGGCGCTTCTCCCGCCTTCCCCGATGTCCACTGCACGGCGGACTACACCATCTGCCAGCTCATCACTGGTGAATCCGAGATCAACGCTGCCATCACCGTTGCGTCGGTCGTCTTCAACCCCATGTTCGATCTGACCAAGACCTACTTCCTCGTCGCCGGTATTGCCGGCGTCAACCCCGAGCGCGCGAGCATCTGCGATGTGACCTTCGCCCGCTTTGCCATCCAGGTGGCTCTGCAGTACGAGATTGACATGCGCGAGATGCCTGCTAACGCCACCACGGGTTACTTCCCCCAGGGCGGCTACTACGCCGACCAGTACCCCACCAGCATCTACGGCACGGAGGTGTTCGAGGTGAACGACGAGCTGCGCAAGATCGCCGCCGGCTTCGCCCGCAACGCCACCCTGGCCGACAGCGACGATGCCAAGGCCTACCGCGCCAAGTACGCCACTGAGGACGGCCTCTACCAGGCCGGCACCCAGGGCCCCTCCGTCCGCCTGTGCGACGTGACCACCAGCGACGTCTACTTCAGCGGCCGCCTGCTGGGCGAGGCCTTCGACAACACCACCAAGATCTGGACCAACGGCACCGGCGAGTACTGCACCACCGCTCAGGAGGACAACGCCACCCTGGAGGCCCTCGTCCGCGCCTCGAAGCACAACCTCACCGACTTCTCCCGCATCATCGTCATGCGCACCGCCTCGGACTTCGACCGCCCTTACCCCGGCGAGACCGCCCGCTACAACCTGCTCTACTCCACCCAGGGTGCCTTCGAGCCCGCCGTCGAGAACCTGTACAACGCCGGTATCAAGATCGTTGAGGGTATCCTGGCGAACTGGAACAGCACCTTCGCCGCCGGCATCAAGCCCCGCAACTACCTCGGCGACATCTTCGGCACCCTCGGTGCTACCCCCGACTACGGTCCGGGCCGTGCCCAGGCTCTCGAGGAGGCCGGCGCCATCCTGAAGAAGCGCAGCATGGGCAAGCGCTTTGTCCGTTTGTAAAGACCTAGAAATGTTTACGATCATGTGTGCGGATGTAATGATAGAATAGAACAAGATAATATTACACGTTAGTTTGTATGAGACCAATGTTTGTGCATCCGACTACCTTCGATCAATCCTTTGCAAGCAAGGATAGCTGTTGGGATTATTTGATGTAAGATGAATTAGCACTCCCGTTTTTTATCTCTCCTGCACAATTCAGGATAGCATAGGGAGCTTTGACCCTACGTCTCCGGCCCGGCACTTGAACCTTTGTGAAGGTTGTCAAAAACAAGCTTTCCCTCCCATCAATCAAAAGCAGCGCAAAGACGAATGCAAGCAGCCCAAAGGGCGGAACTCCTCACCGAGACGGAAATGGCCATTGTCGAGATACAAGCTTGGGACCAACCAATTCCGGTGCTGCCGACCTCCACCATCTAACCTAGTAATCATTGATACCTCAAATCAGTCGAGAGATGTACAATTGCGTGGAGAGGCGAAAACGAAACAATGCGACGTCAACCGAGCCTCCAAGCCGCGCGTCTAAGTTATGGACCGTATAATTAAGAAGCTTGGACTCGATTCAAGTCACCTCACAGCACCACCACCCACCCCAGAGTATACCTCTTGATCGAACCACAGATCTTCACTATGCCTTTTGACCCGTATGCCGTCACACCTCCCACAGAAGGCACCTACGCCACGAGCGCCCTTCGCAACAACGCCAAGGGCACTGATCTCGACAAGGAGGCTCTCGAGCGCTTTAAGATCCGCGAAATCTGCGAGGGATGGGATAGCTACCGCGATGCCGCTGAGTCCGTTTTTCCTTCCTTCCGAGCCCTGATCCTTGCATGAATTATCCCTCAACGGTGACGGCATGATGTATAGGTGGCAGAACTACCGTTCCATCGTCTTCGACGATGCCTACATCGCGACCTCTTGGAAGCAGGGCAATATCGACGAGTTCATCACGGCCTCCAAGGATGGTTTCGCCGAGGGATCGACCTTCATGTATATCATGCACCGGATCTGCGGTTCCTCCGTCGAGATCAACCCGGAGCTGACCCGTGCGGCGTGCAAGATGAAGATCACCATTACTTGCCGCTTCACCTTTGATGGTGTGGAGATGGACAACGAATCCGACTGCCGTTTCTTTTTCCTGCTGGAGAAGCGCCAGGGTCGCTGGGGTGTTTGCTTCTATACCCTGCTCTTCGACAAGGACAAATTCGTCCCCGTCAACCCCGCGAGGACCTTCCATATCCCCAAGGAGGAGGTCGACAAGTTCCCCTCTGGATACCGCTATCTCGCCTGGGCGGAGGTCAAGATCGGGCATCCTCCCAAGCTTAACTTGAACAGCCATGGCCCCGAGCGTGATATCTTGTATAACGAGTATAAGGATTGGCTCGAGGGCAAGGCGGTCAAGCCCGATCTGACTGGACCTGATATGTCTGACTGGAAGCCTTAGGTGGTTGGAAACCACACGGAATGGAAGGGGCGAGGACGACCATCGAGGATGACATATTTTCCCCGATTAGTTATAGGGACACTGCTGCGCACTGGTTGTCCTTGCCTGCTTCTCGTGTTAACTGACTATAATTGTTCTGCTGGTGGCTGTTTCTGTCAATTCGATAATCGATATTTTATTGTGCAAATGGAAGAGCGGATCATATGGTAAAGTCCCAGTTAATATAAATCTACTGTGTGGGCTGGATATCCGGTATCACAAGCTAGCGCATGCAGAGGTAGGTAGCAATGTTCCAGGGAAGATGGGCTTCAGTTACTGGCTAGTGGAGACCCCAATGCCAAGCAGACATTGTATGGATACGGAGAAGAATTCGGAGCGCAGGCTTTACACTGGCTTCCACCTCAAGATCTCGGTATGTAATGCGTTTTAGAGCTCTACCTGACACTCAGCCAAAGATAAAGCCTCGGTGATCTACACGAACTGCCGCTTTGACGTGCCGAAATACCCAATACTGGTGGATGACGACCACGCCCAGACGTCGAACTCATATATAGGCTGATTAGGGCGCGAGGTTGGCCCGGTGTTTACCCGGCGTGGAACGAGTTTGTGGTGGTTAAGCTTACTTTAAGGCGCGGAAGTCGGCTTCATCTTGAGATACGCGAGCGTAACCTGGTCTCATATGCATGCTGTTGGAATTAGGCTGTTAGAGCCGAAAGAATGGGTAGTTCTGCTCACGCCGCAAAGACCATCCCTCCCCCAAATGCGGGGATTGCGGGGGTCTCGGCCCCACATTCGGGAAATCCGAGTGGTACTGGACGTTGAGCATAACTACAAAGCATGTACATGCCATACCAAGCGAATTCCACCCTCTTTCAGCATCAGATAACTCAATCGACCCCAGCGTCAAAATGCTGCGCTGGATTCTCCTCTCCTCCCTCCTCTTCACCGCCGCGCTCAGCACCAATGCACCCCCCCACACCCAAAACCACCACCCATACACCAACCCCATCCTGCCCGGCTGGCACTCCGACCCAAGCTGCCTGTTCTCCCCCTCCCACAACAACACCTTCTTCTGCACGACCTCCTCCTTCCTGACCTTCCCCGGCTGCCCGATCTACGCCAGCCAGGACCTCCAGCACTGGACGCAGGCCAGCGCCGCCGTCCACCGCGCCAGCCAGCTCCCCGCCCTGCGCGACGACACCAACCAACAGACCCTCGGCCTCTTCGCCTCGACCCTACGCCTGCACAATGACACCTTCTACCTCCTGACCAGCTGGCTGGACTCCGACTCCCCCAGCACCCCGCAGTTCCTCCTCTTCACCACGACCGACCCCTACAACCGCACCGCCTGGTCCGACCCCCTGCCCATCGCGAACCCGACGGGCGCCATCGACCCGGATTTCTTCATCGACGCCGACGGCACGACGGTCATGGCCTACTCCGGCTCGCCCATCCGCGCCTCGGTCGTCGATCTCGCCACCGGCGCCGCAAGCGCCCCGTTCCCCCTGTGGACCGGCACCGGGGCCAGCAGTCCCGAGGGGCCCCATCTGTACCGGAAGGACGGCTGGTACTACCTGCTGATCGCGGAGGGGGGCACACAGCTCCACCACGCGGCCACGCTCGCTCGGTCCCGCGATTTGGGAAGTGGAAGCTGGGAGGCGAGTCCCCGCAACCCCCTCGTGAGTAACGCGCACACGGACGCGTATTTCCAGACGGTCGGGCATGCGGACTTGTTTGTGGATGCGCACGGGAACTGGTGGGGGGTAGCGTTGGCGACGCGCGGCGGGCCGCGCTTGTACAATGCCAGTGTGTATCCCATGGGCCGCGAGACGGTGCTGTTTCCGGTCCGGTGGGAGGAGGGCGGGTGGCCCGTTGCTCTGGGGAGGGTGGCCGGGCGCATGGAGGGGCCGTTGCCGTCGGTGAGCTGTGGGGGGCTGGGGCTGGGGCTGGGCCAGGGACTGGGGTTTGTGGGTGATGCGCGTGAGGTGGTGGAGTTCAAGCCGGGGAGTACCTTGCCGGCGGAGTGGGTGTTCTGGCGCGCGCCCGTCCGGCCGTTGGATTATGCGGTTAGTCCGCCTGAGAGACCGAATGTGTTGCGGTTGGCGGCCAGTCGGGCCAACTTGACGGGCGACGAGGGGTTTCGGGCTACGGATGGGTTGACGTTTGTGGCGCGGAGGCAGACGCATTCGTTGTTCCGGTTCGAGGTGGATGTCATGCTGGGTTTTGCTACCGGGTCCGAGCAGGAGGATGAGGTTGGCGTTACCGCGTTCTTGAATCAGGGGCAGCATGTTGACTTTGGGGTGTTTTATGGGGTGGAAGCAGGTGCTGCAGCGAAGGGGAATGCAACCGGGTTGTATCTGCGCTTGCGGACGACGGTGTCGGGGAAGACGGGGTTTGCGGGCCATGTACCTGAGACGGTGGTGGTGAAGGTTCCGGACAGCTGGGATAGGGGAGATTCGGTGAGGCTTGCCATTCACACAGTGAATACTACGCATTTTGCGTTCAGTGCTTCACAGAAGGGGAAATCGAATGAGGGATTGGTGCTGGGGATGGTGAACACTACAGTCATCAGTGGGGATGGGGCGGGAACTGGTGGGTTACTCGTTCTTATGATTCTGCTTTGTGGGTAATGACTGACGTGGTCTACTGTATAGGTGCCTTACTCGGGGTTTATGCGACGACCAATGGCGGGCTGCATGCGATGGAGGCGTATATCAGTCGATGGGGGTATTTCGGAGAGGCACAAGAGATTGACTATGGAGAATTCATTCCGGCAGGAGATGGGGGGTGCTAGACCAGTGGCGCGTCATCTCGAACCTAGATCGTCCGAGGAAGATAGCCTTATGGCGAGTCATTATGTCAGAATAGTTTATCAGCTTCCCTTCAGTGACTCTCGCGACGGACGTACTCAGTCAGAATCATCATCAAATCGTAGCCCTGATCTCGTGGCCCACGCCTTCTTCCCCCTCCACCCATCTAATAGAACTAGACAGGTCGGAGCAACCGGAAACCACCCAAAAGAGCCCTAAAAGCAAACCCAGTATCCTACAACCAACCAACAAAGACCAAAAATAGCCCCTCTCCTGTCTCCAATTCAATTCGAACTCAACTCCTGCACCAACCCCACAACATCCACAAACCTCCTCGCCACGAAATCCCCAACCACCTTAGGAATATACCCCGGAAACCCCCGCACGATCTGCCCCAACGTTCCCCACGACTGCTCCCCCTCAGTATCATACGGCAGCGTCCCCGCCAGCCCGGTCGTGTTGAACGAAGCATACACCATCGGCACCTCCTCAAACGACACCCCCGCCCCAACAACCACCTCATCCAAGCCCTCCGCGCTCAACAGCCTGGCATTCCCCACCGCCGCCATTGCCAGCGGCGCTCCGGCGTTGACCGCGTACGTGCGCGCCGCGGCGACATTGATCTCGTTCGACTCCCAGTATGCTGCTCCCGGGGTGTTTGCGTCGGGCATATCTAAGTCCATGCACTCGTTAGTTGGGGGTTTGCGTAGCATCAGTATGTAAAATAAGCTCAATCTAGCCAGCGCTGAGGTTCATCTAGCGAAGCGACAGGGAAAGGGTGGAACTTACACGGCCACGAAGCGATATGCAACGTCTCCCTCTGCGCCTGGACATTAAACGTCATCGAGGGGTGGAAGTGCTCCCAGCACTCCAGCAGGCCCCAGCGACCGTACGGCGTCGCAATCACCTGCAATCCGTCGAGGGTCCCGTCCGACCAGAGGGTGCGCTCGCCGCCGGAGGGGCGGAGTTTGTGTCGTAGGAGTAGTGTCTCCCCGGACGGGGAGATCAGGGCCTGGGCCATGAAGATGTGGTTGGCGATGCGGTGGGAGAAGGCGGGGGCGATGTAGATGCCGTGGGTCTGGGCGGCGGTGAGGAGGCGGGTCCATTGCGGGCTGGGGATGGTCAGGGAGTTGGTGAGGTAGGAGGTGAGTTGGGCGGGGGTGATGCTGGTGTTGCCGGCGAGGCCTTTGGGGTAGCTGTTGTGTTTCGTGGGGTTAGTGGTGGATGGTGAAGGGGGATCGGGACAAGGGGGCGCTCACCCTGGGAACCAGAGTTCGGGGAAGACGATCAGGTTGGCGCCGTTGGAGGCGGCCTCGGCGATGTAGTCCACTGCTTTGGCGACGGTGGCGTTCAGGTCGAAGGGGGTGTCCGTCCAGTTCTTGTTCATCACTGGCAGGGGCCAGTTGGCCGGTGGGGCGCGGACTACCGCTACCATGAGGTTGGTGTAGTCTTCCTGGTGGATGGGGGTGGCATGACTGGTGCTGAGGAGGCTGAGGGCAAGGAGGTGGAGGGCGCGCATTTTCATCTCTGAGGAGGTGTTGTTAGGTTGAGTAGAGGAAGTTGTGTTGTCGATACATCAGCATAGAGTCTGTACTTATACTTCTTCCTTCCCCGACGGTGCTGTCCGATCTTGCCATTGTGTTTCTCCTGGTATCTTGCTATCTGTACCGCCCTGATACCCAGGTAAACTGACAAGATAAGGATCATCGGCATCCCGGGGTTTCCGGGGTTTGTGATGCTTCCCTCACGCATTTCAAATCCCGTGCCGATTTCGGGAGCTCTGGGACCTGAAGCTTTGACAGTCACCCGAAGGGCCGGTTGTTCTCACTACCGGACTGTGGAGCCCTAAGATAAGCTCAACCAGTCTGTGAGAAGTTTCCTGGTACCATGATTGAGGGATGCATCAGTTGGCCTCACCAACCCTTCCGTGCTCCAGATAACTTATTTGCCGGACCCCTCTTCAATCACGGTTACACTTGGACTCTGGGACCTTTTGCTGTAGCTGCTATTTGGACTTTTTCTTCGTCAGACCTGGCAGACTTCTGAGGGGGGGAAGGTCACTGTGGAATGGCGAGGTACTGTTGAATTATGTCTTATTATACGTGCAAATAATCGCCCCACTTTAGCTAGCACCTGGCACAAATGTGTCCTTCACAGGTTATAGATAAATGTAGTATGCTTGGGGATTCGACTAGTGACTAGGTAAAGCATATTTGTTCCTGATGGAATGCGGGATATGACCTACATAGAACAATTCATTCCACAAATCAGAGGGTAGACTCCGAAGAAATGCTCTAACCGAAGCCCCTCTTATTCCTCAACAGCAACCCAGCCATTACTCACAGAGCATTCCATGTTCAAGATCTCGAGCAACACATCTGGGCTGGTACTGTACATTAGACTATAGATGACCATGAACCAATCAAAGGCCGCCGGGCCGCACCACTGCATTTCCTGCTCACGAACCCGGGGTCGCGGGCTCGTGCATAAATCTCCCGTTTTAGGTTTGTTGCAGAACTCTGATACCCGAATCAGGCTTTCAACACCAATTAATCTTGCTTCGACAGTCTACCATGCGCTAGAAATGGATTTTCCTGCTGAGTTGCATCATCAGACTGCATATTTCCGGTTGATATGAGGTGTGCCAAGCCGCTTCTTATGGAGAGTCAGTCCAGGTGACAACAGGTGCAGCCGTATTCCAATGCTCGTGCCCTGAATCAAATCATCATACAGTCTTCTAAACCTGTAGAGGTGCATTTTCGTTGATGCAAGAAGGTGTTCTTGCAGAGTTGACTGCAGAAGACATCATTCGACATGATACTCCCCAGAGAAGGCATATATAAGTTGAGTCGGAGGCACTGGGAAACCATATCTCTGGACTACAGTTTCCATTCAAGAGACTGCACGTACACCCATCTCTTACCCAACCCACCATTAAGAAATCAAAGGCAACACCCAAATCATGCCCAACACCGCGACCCCAGAAGCCTGGCGCACCAAAACCATCGAATGGATCCGCTCCTCCACCCCCGAGCAACGCAAACAATGGATCGAGCAAGCAGAATTCAACCTCTTCGCCCTCACCAGCGACCAGGTATTCATCGACCTCCTCACCGACAGCGGCACAGGGGCAATGAGCAACCGCCAATGGGGGGCAATCATGACCGGCGACGAGTCCTACGCCGGCTCGGCCTCCTTCCACCGCCTCCAGCGCACCGTCCAAGACCTCTTCGGCCTAGAGCACATCCTCCCGGTACATCAGGGCCGGGCCGCGGAGAACGCGCTCTTCTCAGTCCTCGTACACGAGGGCCAGGTCGTCCCGGCCAACGCCCACTTCGACACCACGCGCGCGCACATCGAGTTCCGCAAGGCCACCGCCGTCGACTGTCTTCCGGAGGGCGCGTACGATGTGACAGCCCAGAACAACCCATTCAAGGGCAACATAGATCTAGATAAGCTGCGCGATCTCCTCGAATCACGCCACCCGGACATCCCCTTCATCGTAATGACCATCACGTGCAACACGAACGGCGGGCAGCCCGTCAGCCTGGCCAACCTGACCGCCGTGAAAGAGCTCGCAGACCGCTACGGCAAGCCCCTCGTCATCGACGCGGCCCGCTTCGCCGAGAACGCGTGGTTCATCCAGCAGCGCGAGCCCCCGTACCAAAACCTGTCGATCCGGGAGATCACCCGCCGGGTCTTCGCGCTGGCGGACGCGATGCTCATGAGCGCCAAGAAGGACGGGCTGGTCAACATCGGCGGGTTCCTGGCCACCCGGCGCCGGGAGTGGTGCGACCGGGCGCTGGAGTATGTGATCCTGTTCGAGGGGTTCCGGACGTACGGGGGTCTCGCGGGGAGGGATCTGGGCGCGTTGGCGGTGGGGTTGGAGGAGGTGGCCTCCGAAGAGTATCTGCGCTCGCGCATCGGGCAGGTCCAGCGGTTCGGGCGGCGGCTGGTCGAGGCGGGGATTCTGATCCAGTTGCCGGTGGGCGGGCATGCAATTCTCATCGATGCGGGCAGGTTCCTGCCGCAGGTGCCGCGCGAGGAGTATGTGGCGCAGACGCTGGCGGTGGAGCTGTATGTCGAGGGTGGCGTGCGCGGGGTGGAGATCGGGACGTTGCTGCAGGGCCGGGACCCGGAGACGGGCGAGGAGCGCATCGCGGAGACGGAGTGGGTGCGCTTGGCGGTGCCCAGGAGGGTGTATAGCGATGCGCAGCTGGAGTATGTGGCGCAGGCGTTGATTGAGGTGTATCATCGCAGGTCGGAGATCACGCGCGGGTTGCGGATTGTGGAGGAGAAGCCGGTGTTGAGGCATTTCACTGTCCGGTTGGAGCGAAGGGCGTAGGTGGTGTTATCCTACATGTGGTCAAAGTACTACTTTCCAGAAATTATAACACTTGCCTGTGAAAAGAAAAGAAAAAAAAATAAGAGTAGGAAAGGTTGAAGGAGAAAGGGAAGACAACGACTCCAATTGAATCTATATCACCGTACAGTACTTGAACCCAAGGGAACAACCCGCACAGCCAGAATGTTATAGAAAGAACCATATTCCCAAGCCAACGCTTCCGCCTTCGAAATGCGCATCAAATCCTTCCAACTAAGCCCGATGTCCCCCGCGGCCTCTCTCCACCCGTCCCGTGAGATATTCTCGATGACCTCCACGCACAAATGCTCTTCCCCCGGTATCCGGTCCCCACTGTCAGGCAGCTCATTCACAATAATGACGAGGTCAGTGAACCGCGGCCCGGACCGTGTGTGCAGACCCTGCCACCGCAGGATGTTCTTCAAGGCGTTCGAATCCCTCCGCAGCAGCTCCATCGGCACCGCCAAGGCCACCCTTGGCTCCTCCATCGCCATGCTCAGCCGATCACACTCTCGAGGCCATCTGTTAGCACACTGCTCCTCTTGGGACCACCAAATGTCCCCTCCCGGAGGGTTCCACCGCCACTCGGTTCCCCACCGCACCACCTGCTGCTGCTCCTGCTCAGGTCCATCAGCGCTGGTGCTGCTGTTGCAGCCCTCTACCGGAGAGGACTCGCAGTACCGCTGGTACTCCGCAAGCGACAGGAACAGCGCATCGCCCACCAGCCCGTCTAGGGCCTGTGGAGCGGTGAGCGCCTTCCGCTCCCAGTCGAAGAAGAGGGCGCAGCGGCGTGGGTTGGCGCAACGCGAGTGCTCCTCCAGCCAGACCCCTCGTCGTTCCTGCTTGGTGAGATAGGCGCTTGCAGCGGCGCGAGCCTCCTGGTTCACCTGGAAGTGGCGGATGGGGTATCGCACCTTGAGGGTCGTCAGTGCGCCCTCCTCGCCATCCTGGTCGTGGCCCGGCTCTGCGACAGCACGAGGCTGCCAGTGGTGTCGCTGGATGGGGTGGAGGATGATCTTTCCTGGGTCGATGAGCTCCCCGGTAGAGCGAGGGATGTGGCCTAGGGAGAATTTCCAGATCATGTCGCGCAGCTCGAAGGGGAGACAGGGGAAGAGGGAGAAGGAAGCCAACGAAGACATTGTTGGTTGGCGGGCACTAGATCGAGGCTGTATGGGTGGAGGTACTTCGATTCTGCTGGTAGGCCTTTGAGTTGTGGGGTGAGGATCGGATGTGACTGCTGTGTATGATAGAAGATCGAGCGTCAGATCCAGCAAGCAGAGCAATTTGACTGCTTAAGTATTCTATATGTGTCTTTTCTTGGTGCATGATGAAAGGGCTTGTGGGCTGTGATTCTTGTCAATGTAGCATGCTCGTCACAAAGGGGATGAATGCCCATTGTTCCATACAATTACTGCCTTTGTCCGGAGACGATAAAGACCGATCACGTGCATGGACATCCTATACTTGCCAAAAGACCAATCATAATGTATAGTTCATAATGTATAGTTGGATGTACCACTAGGTAGGTAGGTGACCCTGCAATCGGGACTCGGAGGGCCGTTGGTCTAAACTGGCCGAGAAGCGCTCCGTGGGGATGGAGTGCGCGTAGCTGACGATTTGTTGAAGGATGTATTGCGAAAAGTATTTAGAGCAATTCTCACCCAACAGGAAGGATCTCGACCGTCCTTGTTATCTCGTTCGGTGAGCTGCTACAAAACCACCCAATGCCTTACAGATTTTAGGGTTTACGAGTGATGTCCTCTACGCATCCTCGTAGAGACAGACCATCACCCAGACTCCAGTCCCCTCATCCTCACAGGCCGAATCTCAAGCCCTCTAAGCCCTCTACCACTACTATGCCCTTGTCCCGAGTGGCCCCCCTCACCGCCACCAATCGCATACTCAACCGCCCGCTCAATCACCCCATAGACCCCAGGATCAAACAACCTCTCCCCAGTAGTCCAGTGGGTCCTCGGGCATTCCCAATCAACAATCATCGCCCTACCCTTATCCCGATAAGCGGGGTCCACCGCCCCATGCTGCGCTCCTTCCAGCGTATCCGGCCCATTCACGACCACAAAGATCAGACGCGGACGACCCACCTCGTTGAGAATCGCTGCTAGAGCGGTGGCATCACGGCGCAGTGCTTGCAACGGTACGAGCAGGGGTATTGGCAATTTGCTGGTTGGTTCTCCCTGGGACTTGAGCTTTGGAGTACCGTTCTGCTCCTTTGGGGGGTTCAGGCTAGCGTGCTGGGTTGGGTTGCGGTGGCTGTTGCTTTTCTGTCGGACGGGGAGGTTGGAGAATGACCGGGGCGATAATGCTTTTTCACTGGGGGCAGGGAGATTGCGGGTGGGGAGTTTTGTAACCTTGGAAGGGGAGGGGAGGCCCTGGCTGGGCTTCTTTATGAGGTTTGTGGCTTGTCGGGGTATTTGTGTGGGTGGCATTGTGCTGGATTTGTTGGGTTTTGTCTGTTGTGGTGGGGGTGGCTTACTCTTTTAGACATTCATTGACTCTGGTTCTTGAATAGATTCTCGTTGGAGGGTTTATAGTTCTTGAAACAATGATTCAGTTATGGTGAACATTTAGTGTGCGCCAGGTTGGGCATTCCAATTTGCAGGAAGTCTTCCGTCTATCGGGATTGTGTCAAGGGATGGGAAGTTGAAGATAAGGCGTGAGGGGGTCAGGCCCTTCTTTCATGAAACAATGAGAATAAGTGTATGCCAACTTCTGCCGGAAAAAGCATACTGCTCTTGGTGCCGAGCACAAAAGAATTGCACAGGCAGCCCTAACTCCCGGAACATATCATCCACTCATTCAACACCCCAGCCAACCCACACCACAGATCGACCCATTCAGCGAGAGAAAACCCCTAGATCCACCGACCCCGCCAACGCCTCATACCCCTTAACATTCGGATGCAAATGATCCCCCGAATCAAACTCCGCCCGCAGCACCGCCGGATCCTCCAGGTCCCTGAGCACGGCATCGAAATCCAGCACCGCGTCAAACACCCCACCCTCCCGAATGAACGCGTTCACCCGCTGTCGCGTCCGCTCCCGTTCCGGGTCGGAATACGGCTGCACCACCGAGGCATTCGCCGGGGTCCCGAATGGCGTGATCGTCGCCGCGAAGACCGGGATCCCGACCGCGTGGAGCCGGGTGACGATCTGGCGGTAGGCGCGGATGAGCCGGTCACCGGTGATGGTTTGGTTGGTGGGCGAGGTGTCCGCTGTGCCGATGTCGTTGACACCCTCAAAGAGGATGGCCCAGTGAACTTGGGTGTGGGCGAGCACGTCGCGGTCAATGCGCGAGAGGAGGGAGGGCCCGAGGCTGTCGTGGAGGATGCGGTTGCCGCCGGCGGCTTGGTTGAGGAGGGGGATTTGGGAGAGGACTGCGTTGGAGTCTGTGGACTGCAGGCGGGTGAGGAGGAGGTCGGGCCATCTGTGTTTTGGTTAGTTTTGGGGTTGAGCTTGGGTTTGTGTGGTTGTGGGTGTGGGTGTGGGTGTGGTCATGGATGGAGAGGAAGAGGTTTACCGGTTGTTCTTGTTGTTGTCACTGCCTCTCCCGTCGGTGATGCTGTCGCCCAGCAGGGCGCAGGCTTTGACTGTGCTCGGTAGGTAGGCCTCAACGGTGCTTATGAAGTACCTGCTTATCGTTAGTGGGAGATTTCAACAGAAAAGGGTCAAGTACCAATGCTCCACGCTGGCTACGGATGGGTCTGTGAAGTTAGTTATCCCGATTGAGTTCCCAAACTGCATCCACGAAGTCGTGCGACTACCCGGATGGGAGGTGATGGCTCCGCCTGATTGACCATCTGCCAGATAGATATCGACCGCGATGGTCGTGTTCAGCTGGGTGGAAGGTAGTTGGACCGGATCAGATACAGCTAAGCTTCCAGGGGGAATGATAATGCTATCAAAGCCATCAAACAGGATGGGCTGAACCGTGTCTGGAACGATGACGCTTGTACCAAGTTCATTCTGCAAAGGAAGGGCCAGAGACACATTGACGACGTCGAGATCGTCCACACCGAAAGCGTTCGAGAGACGAAGACGAATCGTCGAGGCAGGATGAGTGAGTCGAAGGGTCTGTCGGATTGTTGTGTTGAGGAAGATTGCGGAACTGGAATTCTTTGTGGGGATGAGCTGCATGAAGCGCAACTGCAACGGTAACGGATACACTTACAAATGGCTGCGGAGGAAGATTGGCCGGCTCGGTCAATTGCGGCATTGCAGTCCAGATATCGACCCAGTGTGAAGACTGAGCGGCTGCAAGGCCAGAAACGAGTGCGGCTGCTGCCGTATAGCCAATAATCTGCATGGTGATTCTTCTTGTTTTTGGGGAGTGCTGTGATGTTCCTACACTCTGCGCCCGTAACATATTTATACATCGGAGGCACCAAATCAAGCATTCTGGCTAAATGGGTAAATGAAAGGGGAGAAAGCTTGACATTCCACCATATCCGTGCAGATTACTCACAAAATGCGGGGAAGCAGAGGACAGGCCTATTCAGGCAATATGTAAGTAGGTAAGAGGTATTGCAGACATGATCGCCCTTCTGTGTTGGAGCAGAGTTGTGGAATGATGCCGAAGTCAAACTTCGCTCCATCCCTGCATCAACAAAACTAAGAAAGTAGTGGCCACCCACTTTCTAAATCTGATTCTTGTATCGGGGACGGAGGATTTAACTCAACATTTATCTTGTCTTTCACGCAACATTGTCTCAAAATTGACTCAAACCACGTTGTGAACCTGTCACTGGTTGCCCCCAATGGACTGGGTGGGTGTGCATCGAATCTTTGTCTCGAAAGCGACTCGTCGAACAGAAGCATTGGGAGAGAATATTACTTTCGTGAAAATAATATAGCTTGAGGCTGAAATAAAAGGGTCACGCTACCTGCTACTATGCTCAGAGAGAGTGTAATGTTACAAATGAGCTTTAGATTGTCATATCGGCGTCATTGGCAGCTGGCATACGAGGAGCGCAGCAAGCAGACAGTAAACATAGAAATGGCCGGGTGGCGCAATGGTAGCGCGCTGCCTTCCGGTTAGGGATGTGGCAGTGGTTGCGCGTTCGAGTCGCGTCTCGGTCGTTCCTTTTTTGCTTCCCTCAGCATCTACTCGGATCCATTGTCCGACTGCTCGGTACATACATCCACCTTCCACCTGGCACTTTAGCCCTATCTATCCTATCCCATCGATCTGCTTTTTGTGTTCCTAATGCCTCATTTAGTACTACGGAGATGTTCTACATGCAGACGAGAAGCTACCCTCAACGGCTATCGTCATTGCCATCGAGGCAGCTGATCACATACCGTCATAGAAACAATCTACTCGGTTTAACCAAAAGCTCCATCACCATGAATCCTGGAAAGCTGCCTTCATGGCGAACCGGGTTTCCCGGTAACTCCTCTCCCTGGACACCAAAGCCACCTTGCCGGGTTTCAACAACCCCCAACCCCCCGACAGAAAAACACCTTCTCGTTCTCACCAACCTCCACTGACCAAGATAGATTTAATCCCTTCGATTATAGAACAATGAATCTTCAATCTCAACAAAGAGCCTCGATACATTCCGCGCGACGTTCCGGGAACTAATATCTCCACCAAGTATCGTCACCAGCTAACAAAGAGACACATTCGCCCAGCGATGGTATATAAGTACTCCATGGTTCGCTATGGGATTATCCTATGTATCATACCACACGGGTACACTACTAAGCATACACTTGCTTTCTATCCAACAGCAACTGATTTCACGAACTGAATCAATGGATCACCATGCCGGATACTTATTGGGACCAGCCCGGTCAGCGTACTTCGTGCAACTCGCGGGGTCAGCGGGGTCAGCAACCTTCACAGGCACAGCAGCCTCCGCAGGCACAACAACCTCCACAGGCACAGCAACCTCCGCAGGCACAGCAACCTCCACAGGCACAGCAACCTCCACAGGCACAACAGCCTGCGCAGGCACAGCAACCTCCACAGGCACAACAGCCTGCGCAGGCACAGCAACCTCCACAGGCACAGCAACCTTCACAGACACAGCAACCTCCGCAGGCACAGCAACCTCCACAGGCACAACAGCCCCCGCAGGCACAGCAACCTCCGCAGGCGCAGCAGCCTCCGCAGGCCCCTCTACCGCAACAGCCTCCACAGGCACCTCTGCCGCAACAGCCTTCACAGGCACCATTGCCGCAGCAGCCCCCGCAGGCTCCTCGGCAGGTGCAAGCCGCGGCAGAGGACGAGGACGAGGACGAGGAGGCCGACCCAAATGGGCAGGTGGCTCAGGGAACTCAGCAGGCCCAAGGCGGGCCAAATGCGCCGCACGCAGGCAATGCGGCGAGTGCTGCGCTTCCGCCAAATACACCAAACCTGCCGGCTCCGCCGAACACGCCGAACGTAGTGCTTGTGAACGGGGTAAACGGGGCAGCCCCAGTAACCGGAGTGAACCATGTTAACGGGGTGAATCCAGTAGCCAGGGCAACCCCCCAAGTGAACGGGGTTGTCCATGGACACGGCGTAAATCCAGTAGCTAGGCCCAACCCCCCAGCAGACAGGGCTAACCTTGTTAACGGGGTAAATCCAGTAGCTAGGGCCAACCCCCAAGTGAACGGGATTGTCCATGGAAACGGCCCAGCTAGGCCAACCCCCCAAGTGAACGGGGTTGTCCCAGCAAACCGGGCAAACCCCAGGCCCCCCGGGCTTGTCGCCGTAGGCGGGGCAAACGCGATGAACAGTGGAGTCGACGCCCAAGGTGGTACACAAGTACGAGGTCCGTTCCAGCGGGTCGGACACCCGGACTACCACATCCGCTACATTCTGCTCAACGCGACCACGGCCTGGACGGCCATCCGGTGGCTGGCCCCGGGCCCCGTCGACTGGCACGGGGCGCCGGTGGACGCATTGAATCTGGAGTTCCAGTTGGTGCGGCAACGGTTCCCCGACGCAGTGACGCTGCATGGCAGCATCACGCAGTCGCCAACAATACGTCTATTCCGCGAGGCGCGGCCCTGGGCCTTCGGCGTCGAAGACCCGATCCGCGATACCCGGGTGGTGGCCGAGAGTAGGGACCTGAACTTGATGGATCCCGCCCATACCCGCCTGATCCTTGATTGGAAGCGTGCCATTCCCACTAATCCGCCGAGCAATCGGTGAGCTTGTAGGTTTTACTGGCGCGGCACGGTCTCCTTGCGATGCCACAGTATATGGTAGGGTTTTTGTTCGGTGGGATAGCTAGTTAGCTGTTATGCTTACAAATCTTTACAAAAAAAAAGGAAAAGAAAAGGAAACGATAATAAAAATTAACTAGAAAGAAACTTTTCAGCACTGTATCATTCACCAGTAATCATATAAAACCTGATGTTTGTTTACAACATTTTAGATTTGTGTATAAACGTTTTGATTTTCTATGTTTATGATAAAACTCCCTCAGTAAGAAGGTAATAATAGTTTAGATGCAGGAATTGCAGATATTATCTATACCTAACCTTTAATGTTGTACTTGTCACATACTATATCTGCCGGCGGGCCACCATCTGCTCTTATATTGACGCTGATTCGATAGGGTTACAGTCCGGTCACACATGTCATTCTATTGTCAACTCCCTTCTCTCATATTAGGCTCTTGAGGCTTGTAGACTTACTATCCCCAATGATTAGTCTTGCAATAGAATCGATAGTGCTTTTGCCTTACCTGACCGGCGGTGTTGTGCTCCTTTATAGTTCTTAACATCTAATTCAAATTAGTAATAGAAGCACTCGTTCCTTGGAGCCAAAAGAAGAAATCACTTTTAGACAAGCTTATAAAACTTCATTCTGATATCCTATACCTATCATCTACTCTATCACAAGACAGGTCTTCAAGCTACCTAACTGCTATAAGTAGTAAACTAGTGCGAGCCAGGCAGATAAGATATACCATAGATATTATCAAGATCTGCATTTTTTATGAGCAGCACATGTTTTTCTAGAGTGATATTATTTCTGTATAGAGGTACAGACATAGATAAGGATTTGTAGTATGGCGGTATGGATATGTCTGGTTATGGGTGATTGTCCGTCAGCCCGCGTCTTCGGATAAGAGATGACTTAACAGTCAGTCTTTTAGATGTACTTGTACCAGGATAAGATGATGAGTTTCCTCTCTAAACAAAGACATATCGGCATATACCCCCTCTAGCGACGTTTGTCCCAATGAACCAACAACCAAGTAGACATATTCGCCGGTAACAGGTGGCTATAAATACTATCTGGTTCGCGGTGGAGTTGGTCGTGCATCAAACCTCACATAGATGCCACACCATACACTGCCTTCCACTTGAACAGCAACCAGCCTGTAAGAAGAACTGAACTAATTGACAGCAATGTCGAACTTATACTGGAACATGCGTGGACAGCGCACTACGCGCAACTCGCAGAACCGGCGGAACCAACAAGATCCTCAGCCTTCTCAGGCACCCCTTGCTCCGCAGGCTCCGGCTCCGCAGGCCCCGGCTTCACAGGCTCCGGCTTCACAGGCTCCGGCTTCACAGGCTCCGAATTCACAGGCTCCTCAAGTCCCTCAACCTCAGCTAGCTGAGCGAATGCAGCAGGCTATGCAGGATCTGCAGGCTTTACTGCAGGCCTCTCAGGCTTTTCAGGCTCCTCAGGCTCCTCAGGCTCCTCAAACTCCTCAAGCTCCTCAAGTTGCTCAAGATCAGCAGCCCCAAGTGCATCAAGAGCGCGAGCATTGGGCGCACCTTCAGCAAGTCCCGGAGGATACAGTGCTGCTTAGGGCAATCATGGATCAAGACACCGCAGCAGAGGACGGGCAGGACGGGCAGAACGGGAAAGAGGCCGGTGCTACTACGCCTGAGGCGGATGATCAAAATGTACCGCCGCCACCGCCACCGCCACCAAATGAAGGCATAGCAAGGGAAGCCCGCTCGGTGATCTGGATCGACCAAATCACCAGGGAAGACGGGACGGTCTTCGACGATCCGCTAGCACCAGCACCCTGGGGGTTCCAGCGGCCCGGGCACCCGGAATACATGGTCTACTGGATGCATCTCGGTTCGGCCACCGTGTGCCCGGTCGTCTACTGGCTGCAGTACCCGTACCCCGACTGGAACGGGGCGCCGGTCGACGCGCTGGACCTGGAGTTCCGCCGCGTGCGGGCCCTGTATCCCCCAAACGTGACCCTCCACGGCGTGATTTTCCGGGGCCGATGGGCGCGTCTCTACCGCGAGATGAGGCCCTGGGCGGTCGGCGTCGACGCGCCGATCCCGGATACCCGGCTCGTGCAGGAAAGCTTGGACATCAACATGAAGGAGGAGGCCGGGCTGCAGCTCTTCGCTGCCTGGAGGTACTCCCTGCCCGAGAACGCCCGCCGTAAGTGTAATGATTTTCTCGCCTTTTATTGATGGACCTCTATTGACTTATGGCTGTCTCAGGCATACTAAACTTTTGCGATGCCAAGAGGATGTAGGCCTCTTTGTTCGGTAAGACAGTTAGCTGTCTACAAGCATATTCAAAACAACAAAAAGCAGGTAACAGTGAGGTAAAACCAATCAAGAAAAGATAAAGCATTTCGACATTTACAAGTAACGATATAGAATCAGGTATCGGTCTTAAACATCTCAAATTTGCATATACGCACTCTATCTCCCGTATATCTCCGGTAAGCCTCCCCGGAGGAAGCAGCAATACAAAGGAATAACTTAAGAGATCTCATCTACTGCCATCATCTTACATCGAAAACAAGACCACTCTCCTTCAATCTTTCTCGGAGCTAGGAGATGTCATCCCGGAGTAAGCGGGAGACGGCCCCCCTCAGACCTTGTTCCCGGATAGCAATACCTTCGGTCTTAAAAGAAATCTTAATAATCCTCATGTAATTATATAAGATATACCACGGTATTGAGATGTGCTGTTTGAATACTGTCAGGTCGATTATACTACTTAAAGCCTTAGCCAGGGGGCTTTGGACTTTAAACGAGGTGTCTTTCGTACGGTCTATATTTGTTATCTACAGCCACGACGGGAGGCAGGTCACCGATATATCCAATGGTGATTTGATAATAAGCACATAAGGTACTAGGTACAACCCACAACTCGTTACCGTAAGGCCTGCGGTTTCCGGAATGGCTGGTTCTGTCGTTGCCGCGTGGGGATGGCAATTGAGACAGGAAATTTGGGGATGAATCGCGAATTGAAATTAGAACAGATATGTACATTAAACTAGCACAGATGTGGTGATCATCTCCAGAATTTGCAAGAGAACTCTGTTCCAATGAATAGATGAATGGTGAGTGAACATCTAATAAAATGCGAATTCTCTCGGGGTAGCGTGGGCCAACAGCAGTGAATATTAACATATCCGGGTCCACGAAATGAAGCCAACCAGCTTACGATGAGCGTATATTTTCATGCACTCATTTTCGTCGTATCAACTATCAAAAGTGAAGCATTACCGGCTAGGTTGTATGACTGGTCCTCGAGGCGCCACCTCCTGAGGGTGCGGGCCGAACCGACGGGCGCCTTACCAGCCCCCACCCCCACCTTATAAAATGAAGCCCCCTATGAACTGCGTACAAAGATATACACCTTATAACCCCCCTCCTACAACTTTCCTCCCAATCCATTCAACCAATACTCTCAATAGTCCTCTTGCAATATCACCCTCTACCACGAAGACTCAAACCCAACCCAACAACAATGCCCCCCTCCCCACCCCCTACCCTCGCAGAGGCCACCAAACCCACCGAAACCACCACAGCCCCCCCACCACAAACACTACATGGCCCTGGCCCTGACCCAAGCGCGCCTCTCGCCCCCGGCGCCCACCAAATTCTGCGTGGGCGCCGTCCTCGTCGACGCCGACACGCACACCGTCCTCGCGACCGGCTACTCGATGGAACTGCCCGGCGACCGGCCCGGCGACCCGGGCAACACGCACGCCGAGCACTGCTGCCTCATCAAGGTCGCGGAGCGCCACCGCCTCCCCGAGGACCGCATTGGGGAGGTCCTCCCGCCCAACACGGTGCTGTACACGACGATGGAGCCGTGCAATCGGCGGCTGAGCGGGGGGCGGACCTGCTGCGATCGGATTGTGGGGTTGGGGGGTGCGATCAAGGTGGTGTATGTGGGGATTCCGGAGCCGGAGACGTTTATACCGGAGAATAACGGGAGGGCGCGGTTGGAGGCGGCGGGGGTGAGGGTTGTGGTGGTGGAGGGGATGGAGGGGGAGATTTTGCGGGTGGCGATGGCGGGGCATTAGCTTTTTTTCTTGGAGGGGGGGGAGTTGGATTTGTATGTTGCTATATAGTATAGTAGTGTAAGGACTTTGTGACTTGCATTGTGGTGGTGGTGTACTCCGTAGATGTGTTCGATCGCGGGTGGTTGTCCTTCTGTCTATGCATTTATTATGAGAGAAGAGTTAACCTCTCCAGTATTCGAATCGACTTATACTCACTGAGCACAATAAACAGATTAGATTGCATCTAGCACGCCCCCTCCAAAACCCATAACAAATAAAAATGAAAACAAAACCCCACCCTGACCCCGAAAAAACCAAAAAGAAAGAACTGCTCACACTCGGACTCGAACCGAGGATCTCAGCATTACTAGTGCTGCGCTTTACCATCTAAGCCATGCGAGCCATTGTTGACGTCATTCCCAACTTACGATCTCATAACCAACCCTCAACCATCAAATCCTCACCACCAAACCCACCACCATCCCCATCCCCAAACCACATTCCCTAACAGAAACCCATCCTCCCAAACCTCAAATCCCATCAAATTTATCCCAGCGCTAGTGCCTACTCACTTCATGTACCAGCAACCAAAAAAGCCCCATAGTGGGGCGGGAACCCCGCAAAATCGGCCAGAGACCGTAGGAAAAGTGGGGCTATGTTTTAGTTTCGAGCACATCTGTACAACGACGGCCGCGGTGGTGTAGTGGTATTAACATTGCAGAGCCCCCGTACTAGCCTTATGCTAGCGGTGTGGAGTGCAGATTCTGGGTTCGAGTCCCAGTCGCGGCATTACTTTTTTCTTTTTTGCATTTGTCTGAAAGGTGGGCGTCATGGGGGCGTCATTCCGGAGAGTTGGGTGTGGGTGAGGGTGACGGGGGGGAGGGGTTGAGGGCTTGCTTGAGATATACGCCAGTTGTGG